ATAAGTTATATATACATACACATATATATTTAAAATGTGTATATTATATACATATAATAAAAATATCCATCGAATTACTTTGTGAAACTACACATTATTATAACTGAAAATAACTGAAATTCACAGGTCAAGAAGAATGCAATAATAGAAAATTACAGGGCAAACTCACTTGAAAACTTAGTTCTGAAAATACGGAATAAAATGGTAAACAAACTAATTCTACTAACACATAAACAGACAATTCATCATAAAAAATGGTTTATTTCAGAAATAAAAAGTATAACTGAGAATCTATCAATTTAACTTACGACATTTATAGATAAGAGAGAACATCGTCTTAATATAGGCAGGAAATAAATTGACCAAATTCAACTCTATTTGTGATAAAACCTCTCCCCAAACTAGAAGTAGAAGGGCATTTTTTCAGTCTTATGAAAGATACGTACGAAAACCAACAGAAACACTAAGAGGTACCTATTACAACCTATTAGGAACACTTTTAACTACAAACAGCACTAAGGTGCCTATACCACCGTCCCTATTGATCATTAACCTGTATGTTCTAACCAGTGCAATAAGTCAGGAAAAGTATAAGAAACAGAAAAGAGGCAACAAGATCTGATAGTGTCTTTGCTTTTCTTGGCTTTGTAAATGTTTTCTCCCTGTCTGTCACTTAGTTTTCATTTTCTAAATAGTGTCTTTTGAAGAGCAAAAATTCTAAATCTTAATGAAGTCCAACTTGTCTTTAATTCTTTTATGGATCTTACTTTTGGTGCTATATCTAAATCTTGACCAGTACGCAGCATAAGAATTTTCCCATAGAAACGTTGGCTCTCAGATTTACTTCTCTAGTTGATACTATTATTTTCCCCGTTTCACAAACGTGGCTTAGAGATGTCAGTGACAGGCAGAAATCACATGGCGAGTAACTGGTGGAGCCAGCATTTGAAACCAGGCATTCCAGCATTAGCCCCTACACCCTTCAACACTGCTTTGTTCACACTGTATATCTGCTCTAAACATATATATCACATTTTCGAGATTGAAGAAACAGCAGTAATCACGCAGATGTGCAGTTTAGAAATCAACATACTAGGCAACCATCTCTACTCTTCACGCACTCCTCATGAATATGGAAATAGAGCTAGTTTAAACATCTTCAAAAATCCTGACTTTGCACTGAATATTTACTGCTGCTTTTATGCAAAACGAACATTCCCTTCTCCGGTTGTCTGGCGTCTATTTTAAATTCTCATCTTACCTCTATGTCAGTAGACCCTGCCTCCATTTCAGATCCATGAAATGCTGCCCGCAGGTGTGTCATTCTCTCTTTTTTACTGATATAAACATTTGAACATATTTATGGGGTACATGTGATGTTTTATTGTATGCATAGACTGTATAACAATCAAGTCACCCTATCTAGGGTTTCCATTATCTCGAATGTTTTCGTTTCTACGTATTGAGAACAATTCAAGTTCTCTCATCTTGAAAATTTGAAATATACCATACCTTGTCATTACCTATAGTCACCGTATTCTGCTATTGAACATTAGAACTTATTCCTTCTATCTAACTGTATGTACCCACTAACCGAAGTCTCTTTCTCCTGCCCCTACTTGCATATATTTCCCAGCCTCTGGTATCTATCATTTTACTCTCTGTCTCCATGATATCAACTCTTTTAGCTGCCACATATGAGTGAGAACATGTGATGCTTGTTTTGCTGTGCTGGTGTATTTCACTTAACAAAAAAGTCTCCAGTTTGGTCCATGTTGCTACAAATAACATGATTTCCATCTTTTTTTATGGCCAAGTAATTTTCTATATTATTCCATGATGTATAATATTTAACCCATTTCCTTTATATATTCAATCATTGATGGACACTTAAGGGAAACACTTCAGGACATTAGTCTGGACAAAGATTCTATGGATGAGACCTAAAATGCACAGGCAACAAAACCAAAAGTAGACAAATGAGAATGTGTCAAACTAAAAGAGGCTTCTGTACAGCAGAAAAAGCAATCAACAGAGTGAAGAGATAAACTATTAAGTTGGATGAAATATTTGCAAGCTATTAATCTGACAAGAGACTAATATTCAGAATATGTAAGGAATGCAAATGACTCAACAGTAAAAATAAAAATCTTACTAAAGAGTGAGAAAGGACATGTATAAACCTTCCTCAAAAGAAGATATACAAATGGCCAACAGGTATATGAAAGATGTTTAATGTCAAGAATCATCAGGAAAATGCAAATTAAAACTACAATGAGGTATTTCTTCATACCTGTTAGATGGCTATTATTAAAAAGACAAAACAAACATATATTGGCAAGGATGCAGACGAGAGGGAGGATCTCTAAAGCAGTGTTGGAGGTAATGCAGATTAGCGCAGCCACTATGGAAAGCAGGATTTGGCACAGCGATCCTGCTACTGGGTATTTACCCAAAGGAAAGAAATCAGCATATTAGAGGGACACGTGCACCCCCGTGTTTACTGCAACACTATGTCACTATTCTGTTTTCTTTCCCTGATCAGCTTTTATTGCCTGGACAGTCTCATTCACTCGTATTCTGAGATGTGAAGTGTAGGTTAAAAAGATAGTTGGGAGGACTTGGTTTAATGTCCAGGAGCTATAATCCAGTGAAGCAGACAGAGTCTCTAAAAGGCTCTCTGTTCCTCTAACAAGCTTTGTGGTGTGCGCCATCACTTAATTCTTAAGGGTCTTCCCAAAACCGTAACATTCCGTAGTTATAAACCGTGACCTATAATAGAGGTACAGTATGTAGGAAGAAGAAATTGATTTTAAGTGGGAAGATCCCAGAAACCTTTACGGAGGTGATATTTGAGCTGTGACAGATGCTTACAGCCCCCATTATTACTTTTCCGGCCCATTTTCTCGTACAGACCTTGAAACACATTAAAAGTTGATTGCTGAACAGATCTTATGAAGCTGCACCATGGCCTATCTTCTTGACTTTATATGTCTTTAACGAGATAAATGGTTTGATGGATCACTGTGCTTTAATGATAAATAATAATAAAGTCCAGGGATGTGACAATTCTTATGTTATCCTTGATTCATATAGAAACCTTTATCTTATTCTCTATTTTCTCTCCCACTCCAGGAAAAGGCCAAATCAGTAAAAGGTCAAGCTGACTGGTATGGATTATTATAATATTGTTCTCAACCTGTCCAGAGATCAATAGTGGATGTCATCATCCATTTTCCTGAAACATCGACACTAACTTCATTATCCTAATACATTAAAGAAAGAAGGAACCTGAGCTATACTGATTTCATACTGCTCTTCTCACAACTATCATTTGAACTTCAAAAATTCTGTGCATTAAAATGCCTTACAGTAATTTCCTATTGGAGCAGCTTTAGAAGAAAATCTGAGTCAAGCCCTCCAAATTTACTCTGGTGGGTATGTGAGTTTCAGATGTATGTCTTTAAGGAAAGACCAGAATCATCCCCTCTTTAGAAACTCTAGAAAAAGAGTAATAACCACAACATATACCTTTCCTAAGCCTCTTGGTTTCTAAATACGGACACTGATCACTATAATCATTGTGACTGAGAAGCCCCTGTGAACAGTTCCCTCTCTGGTCACATCTACAATTCCTCAGTTCTTCTGTCAAGACAAGCAATTTTGGTAAGTATGAAAATGAAAATGTTATTTGAAGGGTGTAAAATATTTAACCCGTGTATGTCTACAGTCATATCAGAACAGTATCTGTGATTTATTAGCTAGATGACAGAGCCAGCGATTGAACATATCCAGAATTTGGTAACTTTCTTTGTAGTGTTGGGTCTAATGTCTACTTTGCAAGCTTTCTGAGAAGAAGAAATATGAATCTGCCTATTTAAGTGCCTAGAAAGCACATGATATCTGCCTGATACAACTTGAAATTGCTTGGATTATAAATCATAGATTCCAAAGGTTTGTTGGGCTCAATCCAAACATCCTAACAACTATAAAGTAAGCATATTACACCAATTATAATGTAATATTTAATGTATTAAAATGGTCCATATTTGGGATGTCATAATGACTAAAACGTATGCCAAGACAATTCACTACAATGGTGTGTGCCTGTAGTCCCAAGTCCCCGGGCGGTGGAGGCAGGAAGATTGCTGGAGCCCAGGAGCTCCAGTACAGCCTGGGCAATGTAGTGAGACTCTATCTCTAAAAGAATTACTTTTAAAAAATCTTTAAAGAAGAGAATAAAGTTGGGCCTCACTTAAAAACAGTCTTCACGTCTTTGAAGTACCATTATATTCAATATTGAGTAATTAATTGCATGTTACAACTTACATAATGTAGCTTATGTTTCTCAATGACTATAGTCCCTTGCCACCGGGATTGATGACTGATTCTCTTTTATGTAACTTATAAACCTAGCATATGGCCTTTCACACAGTTAATGAATAAATAAATGAATTTATTAGAAGAAGATGAATCACAGCAACATTATATACATTAAAGGAATGCAATGTCTTGTTCTGGAAAATGAAATCCTTCTCTCAGTTTTTTTTTTTAATTTTTCTAGGGAGAAATCTATCCTAGGAAATGAACCATCAACTATCAGATCATTGAGTAGATTTTTTTTTTTTTTTTTTTTTTTTTTTTTTGAGGCGGGGTTTTGCTCTAGTTTCCCAGGCTGGAGTGCAATGGCGCGATCTCGGCTCACCGCAACCTCCGCCTCCTGGGTTCAGGCAATTCTCCTGCCTCAGCCTCCTGAGTAGCTGGGATTACAGACACGCGCCACCATGCCCAGCTAATTTTTTGTATCTTTAGTAGAGACGGGGTTTCACCATGTTGACCTGGATGGTCTCGATCTCTTGACCTCGTGATCCACCCGCCTCGGCCTCCCAAAGTGCTGGGATTACAGGCTTGAGCCACCGCGCCCGGCCTCATTGAGTAGATTTAAAACAGAACTCATAAACGTTTTCTTGGAAATCCTGGCATACTGAATAATTGTTAAAAATTGTTGTTGCAGAGCATATTTTAACATGAAGATAGAAAAATGGAATACATTGTATAAATACCAATGCTAGAATGATGGAGCAACTCAAGTTTGTCCTGTAAGAAAATATTTAAATGTTTCATTTGTAAAAAAGACAACTTTTGGAAGATAATGAAATGTGAAAATCTGCTGCATAAAGAGAACCAGACTTTTGTGTGGCCCTAAGAGGCAGGCCCACTCCCTGCAGGTTAGGATTCATAGGGATACACATGTAGATACACTTTGACAGAATCTAATCACCTTCTCACAGACAAAGCTGCACAGTGAAGAAATGTGCTGTGTCTGGGACTTCTGGCATTAAATGTAGAGGAGACATGGTGATCATAAACGGTGATAGAAATCCATGAGTCGTTTAAACATTTTTCCAACACAGTAATCTGGGCATCCAAGTTTCATAGTAAGAGGTTACTTTAATGCCCTGGGCTATAGTATGACATGAGATTAAGTATTAATGAACTACATTAATGAGATGAAGAGTGAGTAGGGAGAGGAGGCGAGAGGACCTGTAACTGCAGTTGAATTCTCTAATTTTCTTCAGTGTTCTACTAATCAGGGACTGATAGAAGCTTCTCGTGTGTGTGTGTGTGTGTGTGTGTGTGTGTGTGTGTGTGTGTTTGATGTTTTCTTTTTGCTTTGCTTTTGGAGGGAGGGGTATTGTGGAAAAGCTTTTTTGTATTCTTTGTAAGTCGTTAAAAAATGCAACTCTGACATTCACTTGATTGACAAAAGAACTGAGAAAGTTAGGTAGCTTCATGATTCTACCTGGTGGCTTTAATGCTCCATATTTTAGAAGTAATGATCTCCCACCAATGGTATTCCTCAAAGGAAGTAGTGCCATCTACTGTGCCGCCAGCAATCATTCTTGTTGAATTTCTTTAGAGTCATCTAATCTAAGTATTGACCAATGCCTTGTTTCACTGATGAGATTTGACAAGAGCTAAGCCTGGAGTGTCCTGGTGTCCTACAGAGTAGCAAGAACTCTGATCTAATTAATCTCGACTGGCTCAGCTCTGGAAGTGATACATATCATAAGACTCTCTATTCCAGTTGTGCATCTCAAACAGATACTGTGTTACAAAGCTATCTGAGATGAAAGTCCATATTTAGGATGGATTTTTAAATTGTTATAGGGTTGCTAGTGACTCAAATAAATAAAACAAAACCATAAGAAAAGTTCAGTTAGGAAATATTCTGTGGACAGAAAGCAAAGTCAGTATACTGTACTTCTTCTATGTAGGCAGTATAGTTGCTCATTTACTGTTTAACAAGAAGTAAGTGCCAATCCAATTTCTCTCTAATAAGATAGTCCATAAAATAGCCATTAGGATATTTCAGTATTTGAATCAATTGAGCATCTAATAGTTATAAGGGTAACCCTTGAGAATGGTAATTTTTTTGCATTTAACATAAATCATTTGATAAATTTGATACAAATCATTTTGGTGTTAAAAAGTTGTTTAAAAACTTCTGTCCTAAGACCAGGTGTGGTGGCTCATGCCTGTAATCTCAGCACTTTGGGAAGCCAAGGTGGGCTTGAGGTCAGGAGTTTGAGACCAGCCTGGTCAACATAGTGAAACCCAGTCTCTTCTAAAAATACAAAAGTTAGCCGGGCATGGTGGCACGCACTTGTAATCCCAGCAACTTGGGAGGCTGAGATCGGAGAATTAGTTGAACCCCGGAGGGACAGTTTTCAGTGAGCTGAGTTCATACCACTGTACTCCAGCCTGAGCAACAGAGTAAGACTCTGTCTCAAAAAGAAAAAAAAAAAAAGAACTCTGTCTGAATGACAAAATCAGGCATATTTCCTCATGCTGTAACAAGTGTTGACATTAATTCCTTCCACATTTGATACTGGATTTTAGTTTCCAGTTTTATATATTATATCTTGGAAAGATAATTTAAACAAAATTGGATACTAGAAAAGAGTTAACAAATTATGTGACAAGATTGCAGAACAAACAGAAATAAAGAAGGTGGCTTGGAGTATGTGATAAGTGTTAATGCTGTCAAGAGAGAAAAGCTCTTTTGATGACGTTCCACACTTTCATCTTTACCATTAACCAGGATGAGGTCAAGGGAAGCATTTAAAAACATGTCTTGTTTATAAATTATTGAACCTAGAAAATAAAATATCTAGAACATGATGCATTTATAATTATCCCCCAGGAAGAAAATTCTTTCCCAATGTTGTACAAACACTTTGACTGTATCATTGTTATCATTTAATAAATTAGATAAAATTAGCATTATGGCATAAATCATGCCAAGTCGTTTATATTCTGGTGTCTACTATGTAAATTTGCTAAGGTCTCATTTTGCAACCAATTACCTCAAGGAAAATAAGAAATAGAATATGACTTGACACTGTGAAAGTTTTCCACCGTAGTTGATAATCTGAAACATCTTCTTTACTTATTTAGAAGGAAGCACTGATATGAAAACTTTCCTTAGAGTACTAATATAAAGCAAAAGCTGAATAACAATCACTGACCTTCTCAGAGACGTGCTATGCCAATTCCAAATACAATTCAACTAAACATATCACATCGCCTCCAAAAGTTCAAGTATAAAAAAGTAAATATTGCCCGTTGTATCTTGTGATGAGAGTGGACTTGGGCTCAAAATTTCACAAGAATTTTATGAATGAAATCTTAAAAATTCAGATCCTGTTGATCATTAACAGGGATTATGTCAATTAAAATCAACTGACGAATGCCATCAGCTTGTAACTGGCTAAAATCAAGACTTCCTTCCTCACCGACTCTATTTTGTTAAAAACTTTGAGCTACACGGGCCCCTCCAACTCTCCAACTTCTCAATATCTGTTCCAAATGATAGGATACAATTTATTCCAATTATTTTTAATTTTTTAACTCCATGAATATGGTCCAATTTGATTTATACCACTCTAATCCCTTGCTATGGGAAGAGTGATCCATAAGTGAGCATTATGGGCATTCCATGGAAAGTACTGGAAATGTCAAATATCAGGACATACCACAGATCTACTGTTTCACAATTTGCATTTTAAATAAAATCCCCCAGCGATGTCCATGCACATTTGGGAAACACTGATCTATTCTTTATATATTTAAATTATACACACACACACACACACACACACACACACAGTACATATCTTACATTGGGTTTATTGAGGTACATTTCACATAAAATAAATTAACCTTTTTAAGGTTAACAGTTCTATGAGATTTGACAAACAAATCAAGAAACCAGCAACATGTTAAAGCAATTGAATGTTTTCTTCCCTCTATAAACTTCTTTCATGCTTATTTGCAGTTAATCACCTACTCCCATCCCCATTCCCTGACAACCACTCACCTATTTTGTATTTCTATAATTTTGCCTTTCCAAATGTTGTATATAAACGAAATCATTGAATATGTAGTCATTTTTTGTGCAGGATTTTTTTTATTAGGAATTGTTTATCAAGTTGTATATATCAACGATTGCTTCTATTTTATTCGCTGAGTGGTGTTCCAGTGAGTAGGGGTACTGCAAGTCATTTATTCATTCACCCATTCACCATGAAAATTTGAGTTGTTTACATTTGGTGTAAGATTTTGTTAAAATATATATACAGGTCTTTGTGTGGATATATGCTTATGTTTGTCTTGGGTAACTACCTAGGGATGAGTCATTGGTGAAGTTCATGTCTAACTGTATAAGATATGGCCAAGTCAACCTGTTTTCCAGTGATCTGAATGCGTATATTTCTGTGTATGTTGCTAGGTTTTCACCGTTTTTGTCCCCTCTGAAATTCATGTTAAAACTTGAATCCTCAATGCAACAGTATTAAAAGGTGTGGCCTTTAGGAGGTAATTGAACTTGGTGTAGTTCAAGTTCAAAGGGGTTCAGAATGGTAGAATTCCCTTGTTTTTTTCAGAGCAAGATGGGCTTTTTGTTTGATTGTTTGTTTTATTCAAGACTTCATTTGAGCATCTTTATAGAAGGGTTTGACAGAAAGAATTCAGCTCTGCCTCTGTTTTAACCACTTCTATCCATTCTACTATATGAGAACACACTTCCTCCCTCCAGAGAATGCACAACAAGGCACCATCTTGGAAGCAGAGACCAACTCTCACCAAGATACTGAACCTACGGTGCCTTCATCATGGATGTCCAGTCTCCATAACGATGAGAAATAAATTTCTATTCTTTATAAATTACCCTAGATATTTTGCCTTGACAGCACAAGTTGACCAATACAGACGTCATCTGACATTTTCTACATTATACATTTTTATAAGAACCTTCCATAACAACTGTATACAGATGTGGTTAAGATTTTGGTTATATGATTACAGTTTCTTGGCTTGGAGCATGGTTTCTATTCTTATAGTAAGGTATGATTTATTCAATAGTTTTTCTTTTCTTTTTTTTTTTTTTTTTTTGAGACGGAGTTTTGCTCTTGTTACCCAGGCTGGAGTGCAATGGCGCGATCTCGGCTCACCGCAACCTCCGCCTCCTGGTTTCAGGCAATTCTCCTGTCTCAGCCTCCTGAGTAGCTGGGACTACAGGCACGCGCCACCATGCCCAGCTAATTTTTGTATTTTTAGTAGAGACGCGGTTTCACTTTGTTGACGAGGATGGTCTCGATCTGTTGACCTCGTGATCCACCCGCCTCGGCCTCCCAAAGTGCTGGGATTATAGGTGTGAGCCACCGCGCCCGCTATTCAATAGTTTTTCTTGAAGGTGAAAAGAGATTTAAAGTGTTTCCTGATTTTATAACAGTTTCCTTAACGCTTCTTTCCAAGGCTTTCTTCTTTCCCTGAGTGATGTATTCCCAAGATTACTGCCTTAGATTCCATAGATTTTTCAGTTTCTTCCTTTGGATTTTCCAGTGGCAAGTGTTTTTATCTATTCTATTTTATATCATTCATTAGTACTTTACATTTTAGGATAGGCCTTGCTTCTGTATTTTTTTTTTCCATTTTCTTCTTTTCGTAACGTCTTTAATACGTATTATTATTTCTCTTTCTATTAGATTAAACCTACTTTCTTATTATGAATTTTTTAACAAAATCTCCCTTAAAC